CATGAACTAAAAATAATGTCCAACAAATTATGTTCAGCTACTTGAATGCCATGTTGCTATTAGCAACACAAACGTAAGTGATTCATATTTCGTTGAAATGTTAAAATTCGTGGCGCGTTGTTTATCATCCATATTTATTCGGATGATTTTTTTTTCGTTTCTTAATTTCGCTTGTTTTCCCCATCCAAAAAGGCATGAAAAAAGCTAAAGCAAAATGCTACAGGGGAGAAATATCAGTCAAATTCCCTTAATAGCATTTTCGGAAGAATCAACTTTGGAAAATGTGAAAATGAGCATGTAAATAAAAACCATTTTCAATCATTGTAATGGGTATCAACGTCACTATAGAGATTTAAAATGGCAATTGTCTTCCTCCTCATCGCCAATTAATGTTGTTATGACAAGTGAAATTCATGATGGTTCTATCTCTTGGTTCCCATAAGTATCCTTAACCACAAACAACAAAATATAGAATAAATGACGGAGCATAAGTGAATGCATCAGTTGCGGTTTGTGCTGTGAACAAGGTGACATATTGAGTTAGAATCGATTCGGTAAAATGACAATAACGCCTCAATGTGATCTCAATATCAGTAGTTAATCTGAATATTTATAAAGACTGAAATGTGAGTAAATTTATGAGATGCATGGGCAGTGTTGTGACATTTATGTGCCCAAGTACATAATATACGCGATTTTTCTTTTTTTTGTAAAAACGGGCTCAAACTTATTCACATGTAGACAGGCGGCATTAGCTTCGAGCGAATAATCAAATGAAACGGCAAATTAAGCACGAAAAATGAAGGAGTTGGAATCGATGTGGCCTTACATATGAATGGAATAGGTTTCAAAGCAAGGGATTCTTTCTAATGTGTCTTTTGAGTACCGCTTACATTGTGTTTGCATGTGTATTAGCATCTCATCGCCCAGAACTTTACATCATGAAAAATAATAGTATACTTATTTAATCTTAATGCGTGCCACTGAACAATTTTATTATTCAGTTCGGAAAGATACAACGATTCGTTAGTACCATATGTATAATAAGAGAGCGAGCATAATAATAATGATGTCGACGAGCAGACAAATACCATCGTCTATAAAAAAAAATTACGCATACATATGAGATAGAGAGAGAGAGAGAGAATGCCGACAGGACGTTATCAGGCGGATTGGCTTAGCATCGATCTTGATATGCATTTGTATAAAATGAAATGCTATCAGGCACATTCATTCATGTTTATGAATATTCCTTAAGTATTTTTGCAATTATCGTATGCGAAACGAATTACAAAAGCGCCACAGCGGCAAAAAGCGCACGCATCACATATTAAACTAGCACTGAGCGATAGCATTTGAGTACTGAAACGCTTGCCTCATTTGTTTTTTTTTTGTTTAAATGCTTTACAGATTTTGTCACTGGCTCTGTTTTTAATCGAATGGGAAAATTGCCAAACACTCAACAGTTTCCGACAAAGTTTTGGACTCACGCCTCTCCATTGACTCGATTCGTCAATACGATTCCATATTTTTATCATAAAATGAGTCCTAAAATGTTTTTCCCACATTCGTTTTCGTAGCTGGTTGATTGTTGATAAAAGAATGGCGCTAGGCATGTTGAAAATTGTATAACATCCGCACTCCAATTCGCACAAATTCGTTGACTGTATTACGTATGCTGCATGCATATCGAAATGAAAACGATTTCAAATAAACTACGATCATAGCTCTGTAATGATCGTTTTATAGTAGGAAAAAGTAGTAACTTCAAAGCCAGCGGCATCATCACCATTTTGATTATTAACATTAATATTATTATCATCATCATAACTTTTTCGCTTCTGGCTGTGTATGCGAAAGCACTTTCAATAACGCAATGTACGTTCAGTGAATTCAAATTCGATAATTTTATCTGGTGCGCCTTTCACTCAATCCATAGCTCTGTACATGCTGTGCTTCATCGCCATGTGGATCTTTGCGCTGAGCATTTCCGATTCGGGATTATTTTACGATTTCGCATGCACACGATATAGAACGACCCACGAACTCACTACACATACACATACCTGGGAAACAGTAACACTCACTCGCTTACAGTACAAATTTACAGATGGCGCATTCATTCGAGCTGTTCATCTCTCGACGGGTGCAATTCTTATTTGAATTTCAGTGCCAGAAAAGTCTTTTACCCAACAAGAGGCTTCTCGCACGGTTTATGCTGACAATGATTAATTTTAAAACATGAATCCACACATATACATACACATTTTCGAATGACTTCTTTTGAAGATGTGATTTTAAAGGGGTTATAAGTACACCAATATAGCAAAATCACAAACTTTGTATTTTTACTGTTCTGACTGTTCTGTGAGTGGTCTCAAAAGCCTGAAGCTAAGCGGAAGATGAACGGGAAAAAGTACCCAAAAAAATTTTGTTTGTTGAAATGATTAGCATTATTTTTCAATCGTTCAAAGAGTGTAAACTCCGGGCTTTTCTCCATCGGCTGTTTCAAACATGTATGCATTGAAAACAAAACAAAAAAAACAACATATACTAACAGCATCAACATTTTAAGCTGAACACAGACGCTACGCTACGTTAACACTTTCAGCATAGAGCCATTATTTCGAATGCGAATGCGAATGCGAATACGAATACAAAACGAGAAAACACAAATAAAACAAAAGAGAAGCGAAATGAAGAGAAATAGAAAAAAAAAATTGAAGTAAACGAGGAAAAAATGTAAATCTCCGCCATTTAGTGATTTTTGAAAAACAATGCATGTGCGTTAGGTGGAGCCAATGCTTTTCATGAGCAGTGTTGCGTGAGCAACATTCGAGTGGCTCAAAAATGGCAAACCGTAGACTCAGTGAATGACGGTAAACAGCAGTAAATTTACATTTGATTGTCTTCCCAAATATCGAATTCATTTTTTATATTGTTTGTTGTTCTACTTCCTCTTCGTTCCCATTGCACGAAAAAAGGATGAAAAAGCACGCACCAATTGATTTTACGTGATCATCAAGAAAACAATAACAATAACAACGGCAGTAGCAATGGCATCGTCCAAAGCATCTAAGAATGGAATTGAAACCTCAATTTTGCACAATTTTTTTTTGTTATGCAATTCCATCTCAGTTATTTTCTTGCATCGCTAAACATAAATGGCTTTCACTTTTCAATTAGGGAATAGAAATGATTGGCTTTCGATAAAAAAAAACAATGGTCCAGGTAGAATGAATGTTTTACACAGGAAATACAATCAATGTAAATGGGAAAAAATTGGTTGGACGAGGCAGTACAGCTCAGAATTATCGTTTAGGATTAATCTAGACTTTCACTAAGCTGGCGTTATTCACACGAACTTCTAATTTTGGATGCAAATATAAAAATAAGCTATTGATCCTATCTTGTGAAAATTCCAACTTCATTTTGCTTAAAATCGAATTTCAATAGTTTGTCAATTAAAATATAAACGATGAAATTATTGTGCTATTATCCGTGAATTTTCTTTATGGAAAAAAATGTGGTTTTGTTTGGACTGGTATTTGTCACATAACAGCTATCACTCAATGGTACTAATTGAAGTTGTTTTTGTACTGATGTGCGATAATGTATTTTCGTTTTTGATAGATAGTGAACAGGAGAATAGGGAACAGAATGAAAATTTATTATTTTATTCGAGAGATAGTGAAAAAGGATAATCAAAGCGATGCATGCAAGTTGAGAAATATACCAAATTCTAAACGGCAAAACCACTTTGCGAGGGGAAAAAGTCACAAAAAAGCATAGATGTGACAATTGGGTAATGCAGGATTCTGTTCTTAACACATTCACTATGTATCATTTCTTAATGATGTGTAAAATGTATGTAATGGGAAATGCACGTCGAAATCGAAGAACACAGAAGCCCGACAAAACGATAAATTCTTTTTGTCAGAGATGCATCCGTTTCCACATCGTCCATCATTTATCAGATATTCAAGGAACTAGATCGAATTGTGTATTCGTAAATGCAAAGAACGAACAACAGCAACATGGAATTCATTACTTTGCACATAAGCACACAAGTGCACACAACAATCGACAAACAGTAAATGCTGAGTAATCACCAACTAACGGTAGCCTTTGTAGCCTTCCATCGGATAATGTGGAGACACATAGATAACGATTGAAGTTAAGGGGTGTTGTTTGAAATCATAGCGACGCATGATATGTATGAAATGCATGGCATGCGATGCCATGCAATTAAAATGGTATAAATCAGCGGTGTGCGCATGAAATGTGTAGTACATTGATCAAATTCAGAATCAATGGTTTTATGTACAGTGTACAAACAAAGCAGGGCTTTTTTTTTATACATAGATATGTGAAACAGCCATCATTTAGATCATATATAGGTATGCCTCTCTTCTTTTGAAAGCTGAACTAGGTTGAAATCCATTGAATTACTTGATGATTTACACGAGTGATTTGAAGTGCACATTTCTTTTTGTTTGTCCACGAACGCGGTGTTTTAACGATTGCCGATGCGTTATGCAATCCGAATTAAGAAAGTAATAAGTTGTTAGGTGATAGATTGATCACTATGGAGTCGCATGTATGTGGATGAATGAGAAAGTCAACCCCACGGCAACGGACGTCATTGGATTCATACTGTATACAACTGTCAAAGCATTCCACCATTTAAACCTCCCAATCTAATAACAATCCAAAGCTCTCCAATGATATGTTGATCGAATTCGAACAGACGAAAAATCCCACGCAAACTCCAATTGCAACATTGTTAATTAGACGCATTTAAAAAAAAGTTATTTGCCATTAATTTGAAGAGATTACTAACTTACTTGAGTCAATATGTTTTTTGGTTCATTTTCAACATACGACCTAATCCTTTGACGACCATGGTGTGATTTATAGCCTATGAAGTTTGAAGTAGATTTAAGCATCGGTCATATTTTTTACTCAATTTCAATTACGTTTGATATATTTTAATTTAGATGTTCCTGATTCGCCGGAGCGACCACTGATTACAAGCTTCACATCTCGTTCAATGAATTTGTCGTGGGCTCATTCTCAAGAGCCACGAAATGCACCTGTAACACATTTCCTAATTGAAACCAGGTAAGTGAAATCGGTTAATGTAATTATAAACTATACCATTATATGAAGGCCGATTTTATTTGCAGTCAGATTTTCTGCAAATAGCGCTAGATGCTATTTGCAGCGAGGGGCAAATCACTCTTAGGTATTACTTTTACATAAATGGTATTACTTGGTATTACTTTCCGTACAAATCAAAAGTAATACCAGGTGTATTACTTCTATTGATCAGTATTACTTGGCATTACTTGGATATTACATTTTTTCGGTATTACTTTTTTCATAGAAATATCAAAAGTAGTACCAGAGGTATTACTTTTCTATTTGGTATTACTTTTGAGTGATTTTCCCCTTGATTTGCAGTCTAGAACAAAATAGTCATGACTGCAAATAGTGCTGAGTACTATTTGCAGTCTTATCAATAAACATATTTATCAACGACTGAAAATAGCGCTGGTTGCTATTTGCAGTCTCAAAATATAATTTGTATTAGACTGCAAATAGCATCCAGCGCTATTTGCAGTTTTATATCAGTGGCGTTGAGAAATCACTCTCGCGCGCGCGCGCTCATGATTTCTCAACACCACCGACACGACAAAAATATCATCGAACAATTACATTATCATCAAGAAAGTATGTTTGTTCTTTTCATATCGAACCTTATATTCATTGCTATTCGCAGTTTTATTTCGGTGGCGTTAAGAAATCATGAGCGCGCGCGCTGAATGCTATTCGCAGTCAATGCATATAAGGTTCGATATGAAAAGTATGATATGCAGTCATGACTATTTTGTTCTAGACTGCAAATAACATCGGCCATTATATGAAACATCCACAGTATAGAACTTGCAATTCTTCAATTATACATTAATCCGTCCATGGAACACATTTCAATAGTCATTCCTTTACTATGTGTATTTCTCTCTCAAAGTATCAATGAGCCGCAGTGATGTGATGTTATTTACAATTTTAAAGTAAAGTGTTTCCGTTGATACGTTTTATTTAAAACTGTCTGAAAATAATATTCCTGCGATTATTTGTTTGTGCTATGACAGTATGGTATCGAATTGCATGTACGTGGCATATTGCGTTCTGTTGCAATGTTTTGTTTCACTTTGAATCTTTAATCTCGTTTAATTTACGATGATGACACGTCCGTTACATGATTTTTTGTCGACATATATCGTGTACTCATTTGATTTTTCGCCTGATTCCTGTCACATTCCCTTATACAAAACATTTCAGAGATAATGAACATACAGAGGGAAGCTCTCGAAGATCAGATACAAAATGATCTGGTACGGGCAAAAAATGCGGCATCAAAATGAAACCAGCACGGAACGTTCACACAACAACAATATCGATGGAAAAATGAAATGTCTAATATACACTAGCGCGTGAGCATAGTTCGACATGCACAGCATACGCATACGAACACAAAGGAACATGGGAAACGTGCAAAAAGTCAAACCATTTATAACATTCAAAATATTTATTGATTTATGTTTTTTTGCGGCTTTTTTTCATTGGTTTGGAGGCGGCTGAATGCGATGCAGTGCCAACGTTTTGCCCATTGTGTGTTGCGAGTTTTTGCGGGCAATTTCGATTTTGTCGTCTATTGAAAGCACATGAGTGAATTTACATTCGACAGACGCATCTGCAAATACTGTAAACGCGCCGCTCGTTGGTTGACGAACCTTTTTCTGGCTCCGTTCAATTCTGCTCTGTCGTGTTCATTGTGCGTTGTGTTTTTGCACATGATTTTGATATTCATGTGCTACTATCAGACGCACATATACACAGAATCTTCCATGGATCCGTCTGCCGTGACGACTGGACATTTTTCGTGCTATGTCCACTTTTTTCATTGTGTCGCTGTTTTCATTGTCGTTATTTCTGTCGGTTTGTTTTTTCTCTCTCTCTCTCTCTCTCTCTCTCTCCTTTCTCGCGCCACCGTTCAGTTGCGTCGTGTTTTGTTTTAAATGTTATTTTGTCGTGTCCGGCTTGACACATTTCCGATTATTTCTGTCTATCTAAATGGATATTTATGAATGGTGTTGTACCTCCAAACACTAAGCACAAAATGTATTTTTATTCCCATTTTTTCACATTTTTCTACCACTTCCAATATGACGTTTGGTATAACTATGTGAACAGTATTTCCATAATATCCGCACATGGAATCTCGGTGAAGCTTCGCAGAAGATGAAAAAAAAAAAAAAGATACGATGAAGCTGATGGGAAAAATAAATCAAATTTATGTGCGTCACATTCTTTTTTTCTGTGCACAGGGACCCGTCGCGATGCATTATTCTACTCAGAGACAAAGAGACTTGAAAAGCGTCGAAGAAGTGAAAGCAAACGAATAATAAGTCAAATTAATCCTTGTTAAAATTATGATCATGGCTATTGACAAAAATGAATTATAGTTATCTTGGGTCAGTGAGATGATGAGTGAGGGTGAATGAATGAGAGTGGGAGAATGGCATGACCGACAGCAAATTGTCGATTTAAACGTAATAATTGGCATGTTGGCTATAAAACCTTGTCTAAATGGTAAAACTTCAAATATTCAACGTGCTCGCCTCGTGTCCCATAAGATATTCGCAAACAGTTGAACAAATAAATTGTTTGTTGAATAAATAATTAATCTTACATCAATTCTTTTATATATTAATGCCATTGCTGTTCTTTTGCTCCCTTTTTCCTTTTGAACGATAATCTTTGTAACAAACGATGCTGACACAACACCAACCGAATTTCCATTTCGCGTCATAGGGTCGGAGAGAATGGACCATGGGATCAGGTGCCACAAATTAATACCAAATCAAATATCACATCGTATCAGGTATGTATATATGTAGTGTAAGTGTATATATGTAAATGTATAGCAGCATTATTATATATGGTGTATATTTTTTTTTTTATCAGGTAACCGGATTGATACCATTTACGGTCTACAGCTTTCGACTACGTGCTGTTAATAAATTAGGTATTAGCCCTCCGTCCAAGGAATCATATTATATTGTATCATTAAGAGAAGGTAAGATTAAAATTATCATTTATAATTCTGATTCACACGGTTTGCATCATTTCCTGTGTTATAGACAAAAATGTTTTGTACGTTTTGGCCGAAAATAGATAGAAATGAACTAAAACGGATAGATGCCAGTTGATATGCTCGGATGATAGTTGGTTTTAGTATCTTACAACATCCATTGTGTATTTCAATATGGCTCAAGATTAAAGATGACAATAATGGCGTTGAATGCATCTTCCATTGTGTAATAATGAGTTTGGTGAAATGAAAATCATAAAAAATGTCTGATATCGTGCATTTATCGTCTGAAAATTGTGTTCTCGTTTTGGTCGATCCGACAATCAATATCACCTGAATTTCACAGTTTTGATCGAACTAGCTGATGGATTTCCTTATTATTATTATTATTATTTTTCTTTACAAGCGAATCTAATAACAAGAGATAAGCAGACAAATATTTGCGGAGCTGGACGCTAAGATTATATTTCAAGTATTATAGATAATGAATGCCAAACTTTTTCATCTAGAATTTGGGGCTAAATGGGAATACTGTGAAGTCTAGGCCTATGAGCACAATTCGATGAGTGTCTAAAAAGTGATGTACATAGAAATGAATTTGAATGTTCCACGAATGAATCTGTTTTCTTCACTTATTCTTGAGTGACTTTCATCACTGCAGTGTACAATTGAAATTATATCATAAAATGTATTCATATATTTTGTTTTGCAACATACGACTCGGACATTTTATTGGCTGCTAAGTAGTCCCTAATGTGACTAAAACTGGTATGCGGTTTAGAGTATATCCATCTCTGAAAGAGTTTTTTATGTGATATACTGTGCGATTAAAGTAGCGGTAGCGAAATATTTCCAATACTGATATCAACCTAACGTAACCGAATTTCAAATGATTTAAAATCGAATAATCTTAATAGTCGCATGAGATTCTATGTAATATATGAAATACCAAATACCATGGATTACACATTATATATATATATATATACATATATATATATATACATTCAATATGTGTAACGTGGTTACCTTTGGTAACTTACCAAATACAAATTGAAACATAATAACGTGGCGGATGGAGTTGCAGACGACTGAGTAATGGTGGTGACGGGTTACGATGATTATAATGCATGCTTGAACATAAACTGTAATAAATGTATGTTGGCATATGTAACAGCACCAGTAGCGGTATAATCAGCATATAACCGCAAACGGAGCAATTAAATAAAGGGAGGACGAAAGCGTGCAAGTGAGATGAAACCAAATCCAATAATGATTTTTGAAGAGTATGAGTTAAAGAGCATTCCCCAAATATTTAACTCTAGTGCTCTAGTGTGTATGTTTATTCGACATTTTCACGTATGCATGATAAAAATGTATTTAAAAAAAAAAACAACAAACTGTTTCGAACAATAAATTGGATAGGCTTCTCGTAGCAATGGTATTCCGTTGACTATGCTAGTTCGCCCATTCAAAGCAATGAATCGCATATTCTTGCCATCATTAATTATTTTAACCAAACATTCCGGAAAATCTGACAAAGATTATTCAGATACGGTTGTATGCTACTTGTTTATGACACCAACTAATATTGTAGAAACTTTACAGTTTTCAATTTGAATCGAATAATCAAAACAAAAACATGACAATGGAAAATTGACGACGACTAGCTTCTAAACGAGTGCAAATTCAAACGATTCTGAAACAACAGAATCAAAAATCGGCACAAGAAGAGTCTGCTCAGCTACTTAAATATTTTCGGCATTCGCTCATTTTGTGATTATGATTTTGGTTAAAATCATGGATAAGCAATGATTGATGATTACAAGATCATATTTTTTAAAGACGTGTTTATGCGCTTGACGCATTCATTCATAAGAAGTTATCATTAATTACGATTGACTTCAACTTTCTTGTGTGTAATTGAGAGCGACTCAGACGAGAATGAAGAAAGACCCCATCTATTCCAAGAATTAAGCATTATGAATATTATAACATTCTACACAGGATTTCTACTTCTCCTTCTATGTTCATGTATATCAAATTAGTTTTAAGTCTCCGATAATGATTATAACCGAACCTTGCTTGCGTTTAAATGATTTTGACTGACTGAGTATTGTGTATTTTGGTAGAAGGAAACATCTGAAATTATTCCAAAATCGTTTTATTTTCGAATGAAAAGTAAAAAAAAAAGAGCTTTCGAAGAGAACGTTATTGATGCTGTTTTGGAATATATTTGCTGGATCCACTAATTAGGTTGTTGCCATGACAAGCGATACCATGTTCCAAGAAGATTAAGTTGATTCCAAATTTTCTTGCTTGTGCAAAAGAAGACGAAAAAACATAGAAACCTTACTATTTTTGAGCTAATTTTTATTGTTCTCGCGTTAATGCGTCTTGTGGATATATTTTATTGTAGGAGTTTTTCAAGATTTATATTTCTTTGGATAAAATCGTCTCACGTACGTTTTTTGGGCTTAGCATTGCTTTTTCGAACGATTGCAATCTGAGCAGCAGTGTTTGGGGTTGGAAACGATTGGCATATAGTGTCATTTTATCATTATGAAATTGTTTACAAAACAATCACAAACGGCATTTCGCTGTCGACGTGTGTAAAACATATTTTCTGACGATTTTGTCATTTTTTTGTTATCATTCAGAATTCACCAAACGTTTCTGTTCGTGGCGCAAAACGCAAGTCGCGGGAGACAGGCATTTAATTTTCATAGATAAGCTTACCATTGCATATCACATGCACGAACCACGAGGCATGAGGCATGGGGCATGAGACATGAAACACAAATGTGAACTAGACAACAGAGAATCAGCAATACTGTTAACGCGTATCGCGTAATAAAACTATATATCATTTAAGCTGTGTTGCGCATTACCGTTCCAACGCTTCCGCTTGTTCCTTTACATTTACCTACTTGCAATATGGCTTTGTTACCAGTTTTGTTATTGCTTTGTATTCATTTCCTTCTGTTTCTGAGGCGTATTTTCACTATTTTGTTTCGATATTCCTTCTTCTTCTTGCTGACGACACTCTTTTTTTTCCTACACACGACTATTCCACGCCGCCATACATTCTGTTCTCCCTGGTGGGCATTAAACTCGATAACTAGTGTTCAATCTGGTAACCTGATGATAATTGAACTAATTGTCAGGGAACAAATTTCATTCTGAGTTTTATTCAATCGTTTCAGTCCAACAACCATGCTAACTAAGGAAATACAACAGCACGAAAATATTACTAACCTCCGTGAAATCATTGCAACTTAGCCAGAATGGGAAGACTTCCCTTTTTTCATCGTCTGATTTTTTTTTCACTCTGGCGCTGCGCTAGCTAAAAATGATTTATTATTACGAAATCCCATGAATACCAGAGTAGGAAAATACAAAGCGATAAGCCAGTAAAGGGAAAGAATCTGTTTCTGAACCAATGATGTGTGGCGGGAGTTAAAAAGTGGAGCGAAATTTTTTTGAATGTATCTATTCGGTAAAAACGAAATGCGGAAAAATTCATTGAAATTAAAATAAAAAATTCTAACCTCACCCAGGCGAAAAATACTTCACAGATGCCTGTACTATTTGTTCCATTTGTAATCTTTTAACGGTCTGAGTTATTACCGCCATTATTTGGAAAATTTATTCCAAAGATTTTTTTTAACTAGGGATGCATTTTACGTGATAGTTTGCAAACATTAATTAAATGATGAAGCGAAACGGAAAAAAACGTCACAAAACTTATAAAAACCGGGAAAATCAACTTCTTGTTGTATCTGGAATATGAGTATTATATTTTTTTTTCGTGCGTGGGGGAATTCTTCAAATGAAAATATATTGGCATTGTGTCTTATAGTTGGTATGGTACAAAAGCGCATTTTTTTGTGTAAATAGCAATTCAATACGAAATGCATGCAAATCGGGATACAATTCTGTGTTGGCATATTCAACATTTCATTTCAAGCAATGTATAACTTTTACGCATAAATGACATTTGTGCACAAATATAATGGCAAATTCATATTGTTTATATGGAACAAGTTATTTTCCCAACAAAAAAGACCAAGCTTAAGTCGGAAACTTATGTATTGGAAAGAACGTGTGAAGGCTTTATACCATTTGTGCTTTTTGCAATAATATGGAGCCGCCGTGATTATTTACCAATCAATAGTACTGAAGTACAGTGTATTTGAGCCCGTCTCCACTACAGCTTGAAAGCACAATGGTATAAAAATCTGCAAGAATTTACGCCTCGTTCTATGAACAATTGCAATTGTATAAGACATTCCATAGTGTATTTGAACGATATTCTAGCAAGTTTTTATTTCTTTTCCGCAAACTTTGTTTGTATGGAAAAGTATTGGTTTTACTAGCCAAAATTTCATGACATCTCCTCTTTCGGACCACTATAACGTCACGCCAAACTTCAAAATGCACATATCTGTACACTGGAAAAGCACATATCTGGCAATGTAGATGGGAACAAATTCTATCGATCAAGACCTATCTGCCTCCAAAAACATGTTGTTTACTATGAAAAATGTGTAAAATAGCGATGAGCGTATGGCGTCGTCTGCGTTCGCGTTCGCGTTTTTTGTTCGCCGATTATCTCAAAAAGTTGACAAGATAATTGAGATCTGTAAAAGCCAAAAGTTTTGGCATGTCGAGACATAGCTTCGGATTGATTTTGAGCCCATTCTGATTTACCAATTTCGTACCATAAGCCTCCGACTGAGGACCTGAAAAACCTTGAAAAATGACACTTTTGTACGGGAAGTACCCGAAAAAAGCATTTTTCAGGGTTTCGATCAATGCAAACTGCCATTTTTTTGCAAAAATAATGGGAGTCTGTGAACAACCGAACACCTACTTGCCCATAAATTTGGTCCAAAATCGACATTTCTTGAAATTTTCCTCGAAAAATAGACTTTTGTATGAAAAATCACACAGAAAGCCATTTTTTAGGGTTTTGGTCAAAG